GTAAGCATTGTTATTTATTCTGGTTTTATACTTTTATACACTGCTTTGTTTCGTCGCTGTCTGTAATAGACATACGTCGATCAATAACACATAATTTAACTATAGTCATAATTTAAGAGAGAGAGAGAGAGAGAGAGAGAGAGAGAGTAACTACGTATAAATGAACCATTGGTATGAAACCTTTTGCTGAAACAAATGATTATTGTCTGAAAAGTGACATTTGATCAGCGGGTAGCCTTGAATAATACAAATGATAGTCATACAATAATTACCACATACGTGCTTCTGGCGTCTAGAATTGTGTCGCCATTGGATAAATCACATCTATTTATGAAGCTAACAAGGCGGAGCTCACGTGCCAGGTCACATGAATGAGTACACAGTTTTATACCGTGAACAATCAATTATTGTACATAAAATCGAACACGTTTTGTATGGTGGTCAGCCTTGTTGACTTTTTTACTAAGTTTCCTTTATCCCACGGGTGTCGGGATTTAATTCCAGTTTTCTCAGGTGTACTTACTTAGTGGTTATTTTATTATTTGTAATATTCAACACAATGTTTTCTTTGCAAAATAATAAATCAAATGTCGTACTACGGAGAAGAATCACCCTTCGGCAATGTTTACCAAACTGCCACCATCCGTCGTTAAATAGACTTGGTCATTCATAGTCTATTGTCTGACATACTGTAGGACTCGGGGATCTGTGTTGAGTAACGGTTTAAACAAGATCAATTATGCATTAGCACTTTGTTTATTTTTGCTACCTGAAAACTACATTGTGAATATGATAATACTGTCAATGACGTCGCTGACCGTTTGTCTGTGTCGCTTACATAAGTCTTTGTGATAAACACAGTTGTATAGGCTTGTCCTTACGGGACCGTGGACATTTCCAAATTGCATGAAATGAAATGCATGTCTTGGATATGTGGTATATTTTTAGTATTGCATTATACTACTACATGTGATGTACATTTGTATGTACATTTGTTATCCGTAAAAAACCTGGTCAGATTTTTTGTGATTTGGTTAGAGCGATCAGTATCCTTGTCAGTTTATTGGTCGATTGTTGATCATGAGATTGTCTTATATCTTGTGTCATGGTAGTCAATGGACGATATGCATTACAGACCGCGGAGGCGTGATCGAGTCTGGCCTCGATGTGCCAAAGCATACAGGTAAACAGGGTAAATAACTGGTACACATTGCTGCACGGAGAGTCTTCTAACCCTCAGTGTATGAGATAAGAATTACATTATCACTCTGCAAAAAATTAGTCAGTTTTCCATTGAAGCCGAGTCTCGAGATTAATTAAAAGACAGTAGAATAGTCAATAGACGCCGAGGTTCAATGTTAATTAGCAGACATAGTTCATTGACGCCGAGGTTCAGGGTCAATTAGCAGACATAGTTCATTGACGCCGAGGTTCAAGGTCAATAAGCAGACATAGTTCATTGACGCCGATATTTAATGTCAATTAGCAGACATAATTCATTGACGCCGAGGTTCAATGTCAATTAGCAGACATAGTTCATTGACGCCGAGGTTCAATGTCAATTAACGGACAGTATCCCATTGACGCCAAGGTTCAAGGTCAATTAACAGGGTTAGGGTTAATCATATACACATTTCGCCCAATTGCACTCTAATACTGCAGGCAGTCAGGGGGACGGGTAACATGTTTAACCATTCCGCCCCATATTTTATATCAAAATAGGGTTATAAAGATGACTCAGCTGGTGGCCCCCTTGTCTCTGTTCATCGAAATCCCTATTCTCCTAACCCAGACGAATTCATTTATTTTCTTGACTTTCCCGTTGTCCTCCCTTTCAAGCACTTTCGAGTTGTTCGAGACTATGATGTGGTTGTGTATGCTAGCATGGTCTGTAATGACTGGTTTATTTTATTGTTCCCCGATGTCTTCCTCTAGCGTAGACTTGGTGTTTCATGGCTTCAACGTCTTTCTGATGTTCTTTTAGGTGTGTCCCAAATTTCCGGCCAGTGTGTCCTATGTACGTTGTATGTAAGGTTGCATCTGTTACCTGGAATCTGGTAAACCAACCCTGTTTTGTCTTCCTTCAGCAATTTGTCTTTCCGATGAACTAAAAGTTGTTTGATGGTGTTGTGTGGTCACATGGATGTGCAGATGTGATGTTTGCGCAACACTCTTGAAAGTGCTTCAAACACCCCCTTGATGTATGGGTAGAGACCATGTCGTTACCTTTTCTCTCTGTGTTTTTACGGTTTTGTTCTCGGGGCCATTCGAATTGCTTCTATTCCATATGTATTTCTACTTTCCTTCTCGACCATTCGGAATATCCACAAATTGTCAGGGCCTGCTTGATATGTCGCTTTTCATTTCCCATGGCTTCATCTTCAGTAACGATGTTTATGCATCTGTCTAGGGGAGTGCGAACTACCCCTCAACGTCTACTGCAATGGATGGTGTGCATCGAGGGGCGGAATGGGTAAACATGTTACTCGCCCCCTGACTACCTGCAGTGTTAAAGTGCGATTTGGCGAAATGTCTCTATGATTTTTGACATCTGACTTTACTGATACGGCACAGTGTGGCTCAGTATTCTTTATCAGCGGTTTTGAGTCGAGACACCGATCGTTAGACGTTTTCGAAAAATCTAGCAAAAAGTCTCGAAAATAAGTTTTCAATTCCTGTTTGGATTCAAAACAAGCTTAGTCTTTATCATTTTTACCAAACTGATGAATTTTATTCCGAATATTTGAATCTTTGTTCAAATACGGTTCACTAGAGGGTTAGAAAAAAAGGGGTGACTAGTAGCGAATAAAGCGAAAAAATCATTTGTGAATGGACGACTGATTGAAGTATAATTGTTTATGGTTACGTCGTGGGGCTGTACAAGTTGAGTGCGTCCAATACATTTTCAAACACCTATCCTTTGTACAGTACTAAAGTAGAGCCTGTGATGTATGTGATCCTTGACCACACCAATATATCGTGAAATGTAAAACAAAAGAAGATATATGTAATCTCAATTCTTCCAAAAGAAAACAAATGCCGACATGTGGTGCCTTATTAGGGAGCGTCGAGTCACAAATGTATCAGAGTGGACAAGGACAATAAAGCATCAATGTTGGATACAGCCAAACATATTTTCATTATACTAAAATGGCATATCAGGACCTTCATATGATAAAATGTAGACATTGGAAACATCGGATTCTTAATTAGAGGCCAATAATGCCTGTATCCTGTATCCCGTATTGCATATCCAGAACAATAGAAACAAACCATGTAAGAAACTGCGCCCAAGTACAGTATACCTGTTTACTTCCTTGATTAGCGAAAATTTACAAGAATATGACGCACATGTCAAGAACATGTTTGCTTCTAAACTGTGACTCAGATCTAAAATTAGTTCAATCACTCAAGCATAGCCAGTTATATTGAAAACTGTGCAATACAACCTACTACTGAAAGTAGGCGATTGTCTTTAATGTGGGTCACACGTTGTAAGGTGGGGGTTGTATTCTGTGGTGAGGTGTATAGGTTAGTAAACGCGATATCAGTACTGTACAGTCTGTCGTTAAGATGAAATGTCCATTTAAACGTTTCAATCAAAACAATTCCGTGTTACGATCTGTTGGACAACTAGCTCGACTGTTCGATTGGAAAATTGGATTTTCCCCGACTACATTTACCTGAAACAAGTCTTATGAATATCCAACACCGGTTTTTTAGGATAATTCCTGATTATATTCCCAGGTTTGTAATTAATACCCTCATACGTAATGTTATAATATGTTCGTCATATACCAGTATGTAATTACAGTATTAGCTACCGCCGGGTTAGGAGGGGTCTACGGGCTCATAGACCCAGTCTGGTTTTTATAGACCCCGAGCCGAATGCGAGTGGTCTATAAAGACCGAAGGGGTCTATGAGCCGTAGACCCATCCTAACCCAGAGATAAATGTTTTTTCTGCCAAATTTCAAGTCATTTTGAGAGTTTGACTTAAACAGGTTGGGCACCATATATGGATTATGTTGAAAGAATGACGCCCTTTTTTGCTCCAGGTTTTTAAAAGAATTTATGTTGGGTTTTTTCACTTTATTCCCCATCTCAGTAATAAAATTGTTACTCAAATGGGTAACTGTTACCCAAATGCAGGATTATTACCCATATGCGCTGTTGTGCCAAACCTGTTAAAGGGGCTGGTCGGGGAAAAAATACAAAATAAATGGGTCTTAATGCGTTCTCTGGCCTTCCAAAAGTTATACCACGGCAATATGATGATCAAGTTCTGCTTACGATGTCCAGTTTTGACCACTGAAATCTCGGGAAGCCCCGCGTAAATTTAGCGCAGATCTATTTATATATGTCACGTGGTTGTTTCGAAAGTGAGCTCGAGGCAGTGAAGATAACAACAGGACTCAACTAGCGGACAAGATAGCCATACTATACGTAAATAATTGTTTTCAAAGGTCATGTATGATGCAAGTGTAGTATTCCTACCTATATGTTGTTGTTATATATAACTGTATTGATACCTCGTGCCTGTCATCACTGATC